GGTGACAAGGCCGCAGGGCCGGGGCCTGGCCTCCTTCTGCTGAGGTTGGCTTCACTGGCTACCAGTGCTCACTGAGAAAGGTTAGGAAGGAAAAGGAGAAGTAGGAGCAGACAAGTCAAGGCTTTGCCACCTGTTTTATGCACCTCATCTTTCCTCATTTCCAAACTGTGAGGTTGGATACCTAACAAGGAAACGGTCACAAACCATGGCGCATGACCCGTCCATCTCTCCTAACTCTGCAACATCCTAACAATATGCCATCCTGTCACTTAATATAAACATTGGACAGAAATCCTAAAATTTAATGTATTTGCAGAACATTAAATTCACTAAAAATCACTTTGTCGTCTTGGGGGAAAAATTTTTTAATTGCTATAGTACTTATTCTAAACGCAATTCAAGGAGGACAACCACAGAGAATGTCTGGTTCTTGCCGATCTTCACAGATGGGTTTTTATGAGCCGAGACTTCCTTGAGTCTGGGTGGGGACGTGGAGGCGGCGGTGTGTGTCATGAGACGGTGGACATGGAGGGCCAGGCCTCGGTGACCCCCGGGACAGTAGCTCATGGGAATAAGAGCGCCGGGAAAAACATGGGCACGTGGTTTGATCTGCGCTCTTGATTTGGCCGGACGCTCTGGCTTCTCTTCATTATTTCTTGCCCAGACTTCCTCCGAGTCACACCACTTAGTCAATGAACTTCACTTCCTGCTCACGCACAGCACAGTCCTCCTGATGGTGCGAATGAGCGGTGAAAGAACCGGATGCTGAGCAGCAGGAGGTGAAAGATGGGTCTGGCTAATTGACGAAATGGGTAATTGCTTCCTGAATAATTGAGGGGCAGCTCTGGGGGAGAGAGCTCAGGGCTCAGCTGTGTCCAGTCCGAGCTCTGTACCAGGGAGACCCCGTCTCTCCCACCCTGGTCCCGCCAGAAGGAGCAGGCTGCTGGTGTGCAGAGTGCAGGGTGGCCGTCAGCGGGCTCCCGCTGAGCTGGGACCCCCGGCGCCCCTCCCCGGGGCCCGCTGCTATGGCCTGAAGAGCTGTTCACTGCTGGAAAGCAGCTTCCAAGAGCTGATGGGACTGTAATGAACCTCTGAGTTTTTGATTAGTTAATATTCTGTAATCTTCATGAGGCCTCAACCTGAAGAAAGTGTGCACTTTGGGGGGAGATGGGGGGACAGGGGGAAAATTATAAACTCAGTCCTGATTCTAAGTGTAAACTTTACATATTATAAAATAATTAGCCTACTCTCTCTTCAATAAGTCAGTTTGGTAACTTCTGTTGGTTCTAAAGTAGATGTCTTACATTTGAGACTTTTCTTTAAATATAAAAGATTTAAGGTTCCTAAAAGAAACCTCTTGTTATTCTAAATATAAGCACTGGACTTACAAATAAAAGCATTCGTGCTAAGGTGGGCGTGAGGGTATGTTTGCTAAATGTGAATTACTGGCGAAGGGGTCGGAACCTGAGCCGTGACAGCGGGATTCATGGTCTCTGGCCCCAGGGAAGAGCGAACTCGTACTCACCGTCATGGTGTCGTCCAGTGGAGCTCCTGCTACCGGTCTCAGGGCCCCAGAGGAACAGACTCTGAAGCACAGTTCCCGGGGCGCTTCCAAGGGCGGCTGCCAGGGGAGGGAAAGCCGCGGGACAGCAGAAGCCTGCCTTTGGGGGTGGCGGGCAGGCCCAGGGTCCCCAAAGAGGCAGATGTGTGGACGAGCCCGTGGTGTCAGGTGGTCTTTGACCATAAGCTTGTGGGTGTAAACGTCAGAGATGGAAGCACTCCTCAAGCTCTGGGTGACGACTTTTACGCTTTCTGCTTCATCTGAACTTGCTGGCATTCGTGCACCTTGAAACATCTGAGTCAAAGCAAAATTTAAAAGTTTTGAGCTCTTCGGTTTTGGGGTTCATTCGCAGGAGAAAGAAAAACAAACCCCCATTTGCTTAGTGTCTCCTGTACGTTGGGTGCTTTGCGGGACTGTTTATAAATGACAAGGAACCGGCACAGAGAGCAGAACTCGTTCTAGAGCCTGAAACTTCACGCAGGATGAGCCCAGAACAAACAAGGATAGGAGTGGCTGGAATGGCCCCCCAGCCGACCCGGGTCTGGTGGGAATTGAACGCACAGCAGGAAGGGTATTGCAGGGTCCTGGGGAAAGGGTTCTGTATTTAATGAGTGATCAGTGGCAGAAGTAACTGTATCTGGAAGGAAATAAGATTGTCCTTCTAGATGTAAAAAGATGGATTAAAAATTTAAACATAAAAAATAAAGTAAGTCTCATACAACCATATGAGAATTAGCCAATGAGGCCAAGTTTTTCGGTTTAATACCCACAGAGGAGTGGCAGCCTCAGCCCCCCTTGTGACAGGTTCGGTCCTGAGTTACAGCCGGGGGGGGGGCGGTTCTAAAGGCAGGTTTGCCATCAGAGGCCGTGGTGCTCCTGGGAGGGACCAAGCGGCCTGCACTGTGACCCCTGAGCCCTGCCCCTCCTCGGAGCCCCGGACTGCACCCAGGCCTGCAAACCCCAGGGTCTTTGCACAGCCCCTCTCTCTGCCTGGAACACACCCCCCACTTTTAACCTCAGACCTGCAATTAACCTTGAAAACGGCTCAAACTCCCTCCCCCCAGGAAGCCCCACTTTCTCTCCCAGGATGGGTTAGACAGGGTGCACCCAAGCTCCACCTGCCCCGGTGGGAACAGGTCGCTAGTGATCTCCTCCGGCACCCCGTTAGCACTCAGCATTGAACTCCTTAAAGAATCGGATTTCAGCCCATTATCTCTGCACCCCCGGTCCCATGACAGGTCCGCAGCATGGCAGGATGGGACGCAGTCTGTTTCCCATCACCTTCCTGAACGCTGGCACACATTTGCCTCGTGTCACGTGGGCCCGATCTGCTTTGCTACAGTTTTACAGTGTTCGGAAAATTTTCCCACGTGGAGTAGTGATTTCGGAGCATCGACGTGTTATCCGGAGGTGCTGTGGCCTTACTCTGCAGATCCACAAACCGTGCCTGCACTCGGGGATTCCAGCCCCGAGCCTGGCTGTGCTGAAATCGCGGAGGAGGGGCTGGTGCCCAAAAGAGGGGCAAACAAGCCGCTGCATCATGCTCCTTTTCCCTGAAACGTTTCTTGAGTTCCTCTTCCTCCATCTGTCTTCCCTGGACGGAGTGAGCTGCCATCTCCACGGAGGCCAGCACAGCGCTCCTTCTCAGACGGCCCATCTCTGCCTTCCCTCCCCCCCCCGCACCTGCTCTCAAACTGCCGCTAAATTAATTCTTTCTAGAATACACTTGTGAGGCCCCTCCCCAGCCCGCGTGCTCCAGAACACCTCCCGGGTCTGCCGGGGGCCCCTCCCGGGTCTGCGGACGCTCAGAGTGCCCCCTCCCCACGCTCCCCGTGGCCTCGGCCCTGCGCTGCGCATCAAGCCTGTCTCTCCTGGCCTGTGCCACCCCCCTGACCCGCCCGCTTCCCAGAAAACAGACCCCCTCACTTGTTCACGCAACGGCTTCCAGTGTCTCCACACAAGCTAAAACACAATCTTCCCCTTTTCACAGACAGCCCTGAAATCCCACAGCTTTCCCGATGAAGTCTTTCCTCAGTGACCCACCTCACACTAGCTTCTCCTTTCCTCAAATTCCTGTTTCATTGAATCTGGCACAATCCTGGGTCTGCACACACATCTCCCATTAAAAGATATTAAGCTCATTAAATGAGCTGCGGTTTTTATTACATGTATTTTTTCCTTTGCTGCTGCCAGACTCAGCAAACAGTATTAATAAATAATCAGCTGGTAGTCAGTTGTCAGGAACACTCCATCGGGGGCTGCCGGTTTAGCGCAAGGACACCTTAGTGTTGCTTCTGTGGAGGATCGCGCCTTAGGGGCAGTTCGTTGTTAGAGCCGATCTGCCCGTTCTCTGCTGCACGTGAGTCTGACAGAGCCCCGTGCATCTCACGACCCTTCTGCACCCCATCACGTCCTCCTCATCCTAACCTGTGGGGGAAGTGAACGGGGCATGGAAGACATTTTGGGGTGCCCCAGTCTTCTGCCTTGGGGTGCCTTGGACGGGCAAGGACGTCACAGATGGGGGTGAAATGTCCTGTCCTTGTGATCGGAGGAGTTTTGTCCTTACGGTTCTTCTCTCATCAGCCCCTCTGTTGTGTTGAGCGAAATTCTCCAGCTGTGCAGCTTTGCCGTGTATATGTTACACATACGTGTGGAAATATTGGGTGAGCCCATACACTGCCACCCTGTTCACCTGTCCAGTAGTGGTCCCTCGGCTCAAAGATGATGCGTAAGCCAGGTGACTTGGTTTCAGGGCCTTGGGCCAAAAATTCTACTTGGAAGACCTCGGGCAAGTCCCATCTATAAAATAGATATAACAAAGATACCTTTCTTACAAAATCATTGTGAGGGCCAGACAAGGTAATACAGGAAAATGCTTTGTAATCTCCGAAGTGTGAGATGTGTCTGTTACTATGGGCAGAGGGCCTGTGTCCCCAGGATGCATAACATGACAACTTAGACCAAAGTGGGCGGCGATTGTATCCAAAGCTAAATGACACAGAGTCAGCCCCCAAGTTAAACACGTCCTCCTTCTGCACCCACCTCCTCCTCTCTTAATGGTGTGATCGGATTACACCTTCGGTTCCAGACTACATGTATGTACCTGCTTGCACATGCAACGTCTATCTCTTATGTTCTTGGTACAAATTAGGCAGCTCAGAATTAACCCAGGTATATCCTGATCCGTCTTTGAAAAGGGTAAACAGTCTGCCCCTGAAACTTCGTCAGTCTGCCCTGTTACCGAGGGCGGGGCCTCCCGATGATGCGTTCCCTGCAAGGTCGAGGTCTGCTTTGATTTTTTTTAAGTAACACAATTAGATTGCCTGATGCTTTCCTCCCCACGCGCCTTCCGTAGAGGGCTCCCCCATAGCCACTAAGATGCTGGGGCTCGGGGGCATGCACGGCTGGCCTTCGCAGGCGGGAGCTGCGCACTGACCGCATGCTCTTCTATCCACAGATGGAGGTGGACGCCGAGGAGAAGCGCCATCGTACACGGTCCAAAGGGGTTCGAGGTACGTCCACGCATCCCCAAGCCCCTGGAAGCCCTGCTCAGGGACCCCTTCGTCCTGCGGAGCTGTGTGCACCGTCTGTTCGGACCCTGGTCTGACACCACCCTCTCGATAGCGTTCTGTGGGAGAGGGGATGTGTGATAGATGATAAATTTCTATCTGTTTTCCATCTCTCTGCAGTTCCCGTGGAACCAGCCATACAAGAGCTCTTCAGGTTAGTGCTCTGTGGGCAAAATGTATCCCCATTAGCAATTTAGAAAATCCATGCCTTTTAACGGGCAGACGGCACTCTGGGGCTCACCGGGGACTTGCTCCTGCCAGGCTGCTCTGATGGGTTACCTGCTAATAAAACGCAGCCCTAATAGTTGCCCTCCTTCTCTCTGTCTGTGTACCCTCCCTCCCGATGCTCCCGAAGCACTCGCCGCCCCCAGCAGCGCGCTCGCCCCCCGCCCCCAGCGGCGCACTTGCCTGCCCCCAGCAGTGTCCTCATCCCCCCCAGCAGCTCGTCCCCGTGTAATTACCTCTTTCTCTTTACAGTTGTCCCACACCCGGTTGTGACGGCAGTGGTCACGTCAGTGGCAAATATGCAAGACACAGAAGGTAACAGCCGCCTCTTTCATAATGTATGGTGTACCCTGGCTTGTCTAGGGTCCAGACCAAAGGGTGACGATGAGTGGGGGGTGTTCTTGGAAAACAGTGAGTGTTGTCTTTTCCTCCTCTCTCTGATGTGAACTCAGCCTTTGGTTTCACGTGCAGGGTCTCCAGGCAGAATTCACAATAACACATAAGATAACACAAATTAAGACCAGCCTTAAACTCATTTTCCCACACACACAGTGGCGTGCTAAGAACCTCCCTCTGCTCCACTGAGACGGCCTGCTGGTCCTTGGCCCTTTGCTCATTCTGTAGCTGCAGGATGGTGGTAAGTCACGGAGGGTAGATGAGAGTATGACCTTCCTGATCTTCCTGCAGGAACTCAGCTTCTGTGATTGGGAAGGGAAGCCCAAGCTGGTTACCTGGGCATCTGTAGGGGAAGGTCCTGGCAGGAGATTAACGTCCAGGACAGATCACACTAATGAGGCTTTGAGGCTTAAATGATTATATCATTCCTGTAAATACTGAGGTTTAGGTCCATAACAGAGGTGGGTGTGGAGAACATCTACAAGATCAGGTGGCTAGGTAATTATCGCTAAAAATAAATCATAGCAGAATTTTATCACACACACCTCAGGCCGAGAGTCATGAAGAGATCAATCTTTAGATTTACTTTTCCGTAAGGAATTTCTTCCCTGTGATATTAATGCAGCTGTACCTTTCAATGGAAGATGTTGGTTATGAGGAGTTAGAGATGTTTACAGGCTCTGTAATGAATTTTTAGCTAATTTTTCACAAATTAGGTTGCTAGGTCTAAGGTCGTTCATCCTAACAAGCCATCAAGAACCAAGCCCACGTAACGAAAGCTCAGATGCTCGAGCAGGTGTGCCGGCCGCACCTCGGGGTGACCTTCCTTCACTGCCTGATGTTTTATTTCCTTTTCAGCTGAACATTAATTTATGGGTGAAATCAAGCAATTATTTTGATTGTCCTTCAGTAAAATCAAGGGAAAAATTATAAATTACTCCCCAAGTCCCCATGCTAGCATTTAAGGAGACAGGGAATTTTTAATGAGCATCCATGATGAAATGGTTATCAGACTTCTGTTACATACCAAAGGAGTGACAGGTCGGTTTTTAAGGGAATTCTGTGATTGAAACATTAATTCATCATATTATTATTGCTCTTGTATATTATAGTAAATTACCGAACATGTAAGTTAAATAATTAGTTTTTTTAAAGTATTTATGTTATTTTATAAAGGTATATGCATGTAAATCCTTAATCTAAAAATTTTTAAAACCATGTTGCTTATATTTTCAATGAAAAACAAGTTAGCAGACCATGAACGAAATCAAGTTTTTCCCTTAATCATCTCTTGATTAGTCAATAGTTGAACTTTATCATCCTGTTACTTTTTTGGCTAAAAAGTTTAGATTAGGTGTCATCTAGACATAATTTGATAATCACAGTTTTTCAGGAAAAACCATGAAGTTTTCAAAGAATCACTCAAAGCACATTCTTACCCAAGGTGCATCCCGCGAGGCTGCGAGGTCTCCCTGTGAGATCTCCGTCCCCGCGTAAGCAGTAACAGAGGCTTAGCTTGGGGATGGCTTGAAGATGGCCAGGCTTCATTTTCCTTTGAGACACGATGCTGGTGTGAGCACAGAACACCCCAGATCTTACAGGAGTGAAGAAGGTGGCATGTTAGAGAAGATTCACAGGAACAACCAATTTAGACAATTTTTCAACACATGGTTTAATTTAATTTAGAATAATGTCATAAGTTTTGCCATGCACCATAATCTACGTAATTATTAGAACTCTTAATATTTTAGTAGAAATAGCCCATGTGGTGGCAGTGGATGAAGAGTGATTTTCCAGGAAGGGACGCAGGTTCGAGTTTCCCCGGCGCCGCTAGCCAACTGGGTGGGGGGGATTTGGACAAATTATTTACATTTATGGACTTCTATTTCCTCGGTTTTAGAATGCAATGCTTACAGACTTGTTACATAAAACCAATTACCACTCAAAACTTACGTCACCGAGGGGCACCTGGGTGGCTCAGTCGATAAGCGTCTGCCTTCGGCTCAGGTCGTGATCTCAGGGTCCTGGGATTGAGTCCCACGTCGGGCTCCCTGCTCAGCCAGGAGCCTGCTTCTCCCTCTCCCACTCCCCCGCTTGTGTTCCCTCTCTAGCTGTCTCTCTCTCTCTCTCTGTC